TGAAATTTGTGTTGACTATAGCGAGGGGGTGAGCCCATCACATACATGCACCCGACTCATCTAGGCAGGACTATGTATAGCATGCTTTTCCACACACAGGAGATGAAATTCAACTGAAGAGTGGCTGTCATGCATTACTGGGCCCGAGTGGCCAAATATTATGGAGAGCACACTAGAAGGACAAAAAACTAGGGTATGACACAAGGAAGAGAGCCAGGGTCTACGACTTTTTTTTTGCCCAAAGGTCTGTGTAGGACCACTTCTGCTGGTGATATTTGGCTGAGTAGAGGCTGCAGGAATATCCAACCCCAAGAAATTTGCTTTTGTTCAAGGTCAGTTTAAGGGCATTTCAATATGTCACGGTAAAAATTTCAGGGGTGAATGCTGGACTACACAGAATTAACAGTGAGAGATACGGGTGAGGCGTGGAGGCCCAAGACCCATTAATTACCCCTATACTCGACGGCATGGAAGTACCAAAGAGTAGCATTCAGAAGTCCACAAACTGTCAACAGTGAAGAAGGAAAGACAGAGACGGAGTGTGGTCATCTGCAATGGCACCAACTTAGGCTGAAAAAACAAAGGTGCCCGGTATGGTCTGAACACAGTGCTGGTATCACACCTTTCCCAGCTGACATCCACCAGAAACAGGCTCCCAGTGAGCTCACATGGTCATTTCTGGAGCATGTCCATGCTATGATACACAAAGGACTCTTTCCTGTAAGCCCTCCTGAGCAACTGACGGGTACCAGGACGATACCAATACTGTATGAACACAAGCAAAGTGAACCACCAACACTGTCCTAGAGCTACTCAGGACACAACAAAGAAAAATATCCTATGTGACTGATGTCAGCAGGATGCTGGAAAAGCAGAAATCATCCCCCACCCCAACAAAAAATCAATTCTACAGCTGTCCATGAGTGGTATTAGCTTGGAAGTGCTCAAGAGCCCATTAACACTGACTAGAACACAGTAGACCATAAAAGAGGGCAGAAGCACACAAAAAAGTTGGCTGGAGACTGTATTAGCAGAGACATGTGCGATGGGTGGGAAATAAGGCCTGGGGCTATCTCCATCAGCCACAGGGTGGGTGGGCCTGCAGTCCCTTCTCAGCAGAGCCTCCAGCTTCCTGCTCCACATAGGACACTGGCATCTTTTGCCACCAAGTTAACCAATGTCTGAAGCCATAGCAATTTGAGAAAGAAGATCAAGCTGAAGGCAGCACACTTGTGATTTCAAACTATATTACAAAGCTACTGTTTTCAAAATAGGGTACTGGCATAAAAACAGACCAGTGGAACAGAATAAAGAGCCCAGAAGTAAAGCAACACGTATATAGACAATGTTTGACAATGAGGCCAAGAATCAATACTGGGGAAAAAATAATCTGTTTCATTCTGCTGTGAAATGTGAATATCCAAATACAAAAACAAGGATCCTGGATCCCCATCTTATAGCACTCAAGGAAATGAGAATTTCAAATTGATTAAAGACATAGACATATGATCTCAAACCCTAAAATTCCTAGAAAAAAACATAGGGAAAAGCCTCCGTAACCTTATTCCTGCCAATGGTTTTTTGAATAGAATATCTAAAGCATACACGACAAAAGCAAAGACTAACAAATACCACTATACCAAATTGAAAAGTTGCACCAGGGGCACCTGGGTGGCTCAGTCATTAAGCGTCTGCCTTCGGCTCAGGTCATGATCCCAGGGTCCTGGGATCGAGCCCTGCATCAGGCTCAATTGCTCTGCGGGAGGCGGGCTTCTCCCTCTCCCACTCCCCTTGCTTGTGTTCCCTCTCTCGCTGAGTCTCTATCAAATAAATAAAATTTAAAAAAAAAATGTTGCACCAGAGCCAATGAAACACACAAGAGTGTGAAAAGGATGTACAAGTGACTAACATGTGCTCACAATCACAAATCATCAGGGAAATGAAAACCACACCACAAAATATCACCTCCTACCCGTTACAATGGCAATTACCAAAAAGACAAGAAGTAACAGGTTGGTCATGATGTGGAGAAAAAATAACATTTGAATATTGCTGCTGGGAACGTAAATAGGGAAGTCATTATGGAAAATATTAGGGAGACCCACCAAAAATTGAAAATACAACTACCATATAGTCCACCACTGCCATTTCTAGGTTTCTAGCCCAAGGAAACAATATCAGTATCTCCACAACGTATCTGAACATGAATATCCACTGCAGTATTGTTCACATAGCCAATATATGAAAATATCATTAAGTGTGTGTGAATGTTTATACTGACAAATATGGGGCACCTGGCCAACTCAGTCCATAGAGCATGCAACTCTTGATCTCAGGGTGGTGAGTTCAAGATCCACATCGGGTATGGAGTCTATATATATATATATTTTTATATATATATATATAAATAAATTTTATCTAAATAGAGAAATAAATTAATAAAGTGATAACATTTAGTACACACATGTGCAGGAATATTCAGCCATAAAAATGGAAGGCAACGCTGCCACTTGCCACAAACAGATGAATCTGAAAAACACTATGCTAAGTCAAATAAGCCACACAGCAAAACACAAACCCTGTATGTGGATACAGGGTACAAACCCACATATGTGGATATTTATTAAGAAAAAAATGAGTCAAACTCATAGAAACAGAAAGTAGAATGCCAGAAGCTAAAGACTGAGGGAGGGCGCCTGGGTGGCTCAGATGGTTAAGCGTCTGCCTTTGGCTCAGGTCACGATCCCAGAGTCCTGGGATCGAGTCCCACGTTGGGCTCCCTGCTCCTTGGGAGCCTGCTTCTCCCTCTGCCTCTCTGTCTCTCATGAATAAATAAATAAAATCTTAAAAAAATATATATATAAATAAATAAAGACTGAGGGAGATGGGGAGATGTTGGTAGGAATACACACTAACATTTACAAGATAAGTTCTGAGGATCTAAAATGCAGCATGTTGACTACAGTTGTTAATATTTTATTGTACACTTGAAATTTGCTATCAGAGTAGATACTAAGCTTTGGAACCACCAACAACAAAAAACGTAATTATGTCAAGCGATCCTGTGTCGATTAGGTTCATTTGTAATAATTCCCCATAATGTAAGGGCGTCTAGGTGGCCCAGTCAATTAAGCATCCAACTCTTGGTTTTGGCCCAGGTCTTGATGTCTGGGTGGAGAGATTAAGCCCTGCCTCAGGCATAAATATCTAAAAAAAAAAATTATAACGTGTATCAAATCATTATGTAATATAATTTCAATAATATAAATTTGTCAGTCATATCTCAACAAAGCTCATGGGAGGAGGGCAGGTAGAAGAAGAGATGTAAACACTACTAAAAGAACCATACAGGACAGTCTTTTTTTTTTTTTAAGATTTTATTTATTTGACAGAGAGACACAGCAAGAGAGAGAACACAAGCAGGGGGAGTGGGAGAGGGAGAAGCAGACCTCCCGCAGAGCAGGGAGCCCAATGCGGGGCTCGATCCCAGGACCCTTGGATCATGACCTGAGCCGAAGGCAGACGCTTAACAACTGAGCTACCCAGGCGCCACCCATACAGTTCGGTCTTGAGAAGTAACCCATGATCCACATAAGCAGTAAACATGCCAATGCCTGTAATTTCAGGCACAGGCAGGCAATGGAAATGGCACCTGTAGGAAAGGTTCAAATCCCAGGCCACAGAAATGGCACGGATCTGAACACACGGACCCAGCCAGGGAGAGGGCAAGCAAGGTGCAATCCACCAGCCTCACTGCATGACCACTGACCTCCAATCTTACCCGATCAGGGCTCAGCACAGAGGGCACTGGGAGCTGCAGGGCAGAGAGAAGGGCACACCAACAACTCAGAGCTAGCAACAAAAGCAACTAACCAGAAAGCTGGGAAAGCAAGCAGTGCCCACAGTCCACATGAGAGGAGAAACCTACCCTGGAAAATGCAGAGGGGGGACGTGGGAGTACAGAGTCTAGTCCAGGTCAAAGCGGGGGGGCTGAGGGCCTTACCCAGTGAGGATATAAGTGTAAAGTTCTCCAGCATCACATGGTGGTACAGCCGTCTCTGAGCCTCATCAAGAAGCCTCCACTCCTTCCAGGAGAAGTACACGGCAATGTCCTCAAAGGTCACACCACACTACCATGAAAGGAAAAGTTGGAACCATGAACATCCTCTGAGAACCCACAATCCAACCCCACATCCACCCCAGCTCCCCACCTCAGAATAAATACCAGGTCCTGGGGCCTCTAATGCCGCTCTCCTCTCACCTTCCCATCAATCACTGTGTTCAGTCCTCAGCAGCAACAGGCAGGGGGACACATGGATGCACTCTAAGCTCTGGGTCTGGCCTGCAAGGTCATCCCCCTGCCACGGTATTCCCATGGAGTCTCCCACGTTGTGCCCTCAAGACAGCCAATTATACGCCCTGCTTTACCAGGAAGTCTTCAATACCAGGGCGCTGAGGCCCTTAGCTCACACTTCCCCTCCACGTGTACAGGATTCTGTAGACTCTACCACTCTCACGTCTTCAGACCCCACAGATGAACTCCCACACCTTCCTGCCCCAC